TTAAGTACTAAAATAACAAACTAAATAAAATACATAAATAATACACATATAATACTTACCAATTCTTTATTACATTCAATCTTATATTATGTATAATCGGGACAATCTTATGCGTTCATCCTGAGATTCAAATTGCAAATCCTCGTTCTGGACTTTCGCAGGCTTCAGTTGTTGTTCTTTATTGTACATATTTAATCACAAGTGCAGTGGCAAATGAACCGGGAGAATGTAATCCGTTGACACAAAGCAGTGGAACGCGTACAACTACTATCGTTTTAGGAGCAATATTTACCTTTTTGGCGATTGCATATTCGACGACACGAGCTGCTAGTCAAGGCAAGGCATTAATAACTAAATCGGATTATCATCCTTTAAATACTGCTACAGCAGTGCCTTTGATGACTAACCAGCCAAACGGACTCAATCCCAACATGCGATCTGATTCGGTGTTGGCTGCTTCCATTGAAAGCGGGTGAGTATTATACGCATATTAAATTACTTGTGTTATATTTGAAAATTGTTATAACGTTGTTATTTTATTTTTTAAAGTGCAATGCCTGCTTCAGCGCTAGATGAAGACGACGACGACGATTATGGTAACGACGACGAAAAAGGTGGTGTCGCCTATAGTTACGTATTTTTCCATCTCATTTTCGCTATCGCGTCTATGTATGTTGCAATGCTTCTTACGAATTGGTAAGTATTATATGTGTATTATTTATGTATTTTATTTAGTTTGTTATTTTAGTACTTAATTTTGACAATTATAGGAACAACATGTCTACGGAGGACGACAATAATGACGGTGAACTTGTTAAAATTGGTCAATCGTATACCGCCGTATGGGTTAAAGTCATTTCAAGCTGGGCTTGTTTCTTATTATACACATGGACTTTGGTTGGACCAGTATTGATGCCTGATCGATTTGAGGTAAGTTGTTAGATTCGTAATTCTTTCGATAATATTGAACGCATTATGACTTTAAATTGTTTATTTTTATTTTACTTAGATTTACTAAGAATTAGCTTTTGAGAGTAGAATTTGTTCCTGTCATGCATTAATATTATTATAAATCTTTTGCATATTTTGTATTTATGAATAAATTATAAATTTTATAAAATAATTCTTACTTTTAAGGATTAATTAATATATATTTTTTATTCTATTAAATCATTGAATCAAATTTGTGAAGACAACGACTATATATATTTATGAATGTACACAGAGCGTAAAATAAAATGCAAATAAAGTTCTAAATATGATAAAGAATAACGCGTATAGATTATTTAATACGAAAAAAATTTACTATATACGTAGATAACACGCTTATGAAATCACATTTATTGAATGCAAATGTGAACTGACTTATATATCAGACTGTAGTCATGTATAACACAGTAGTTACTATAAAGATTATTAATTTATTATTAAACATAACTGTTTCATACTTGGGAATATCCCCGGTAGTGTCCTGATATGTAATTTAGTATATTTTTGAAAAGATCCTATTTTCAAAATAAATATGTTAGAAACATGGTTTTTGAAATCATATCCCATTTTTTTTAAACAAAATGAAAAAATGTATACCGAAAGCATATGTGGGACGCTTCTCCAAAAATCCCTTGAAAATAATTTGTTATAGAAAATTTTACTAGATGTTCAAAAGTAGTTCTGTTTCAAAAACAAACCAACCAATCAGGGTAATCTTATTAACAAACCTATGTGGTAATAAATCCCATCCATGAGAATTATACGTGTGATAATTGTAGGCAACTCCTATGACTAAATATCCTAGGAAACCAATAAATATCCTACAAAATCGAATAAATATAATACTTAATTTAATCCAACTTCAAATATTACAAAAGTAGATTGTTTTTTACGTACAAGAACAGAAATATCGAAAAGAGACTCCATGACCCATCCCCTTGTGATTCGTCATTACTGCATTTGAATGGGATCATATTTAAGATTAAGACATACTTAAATATAAATTTAAAATCATTTCAAATAGCGAAAAGTCAACACACCCCGTAGCCCTAATCTTCCATTCTATAAGTAATGTATTATTCTTGTAATCCACTACATCAGGATCAAGATCGACGGGTTGCTTGATAATTGAATATTTTTTAACATAATTAATACTGTATCATTTTGACTTAATTGTGGAAGAGAGTACTCACACCAAGGAAAAAAGTTATATTTGCTTTCTGTTTTTCATCTAAATATTCACCTCCGCCTAATTTGACTTCGAGAGTCTCTGTTGTATTAAATAGAATCTCTTTAGCATGAATTATTCCATAACCATATTTTATGGCAATAATACGTGCGTGATATTATGGAATATTTCTTTTACCGCGGTTGACTTCAGAGAATATAGAAATTGGTTGAAAATTTGAATTCTTGACAATCTGTTTAACATCAATAATCATCGGGTCACCATCACTATCATAGGATTTGAATGTCGTAATCGCACAAATATTAGTGCCATCTTCACATGTATTATTTTTTCCTAGTGTTTCGTTGTAAGATAACGGCTCACAAATATTTATACGATATGTCGTGTTCATTACTCCCTTAGATTGCTTTTCGATTATGCTTTGATTCCATTCTCTGTTATTTCAAGAACAATTAAAAACATTATAAAAAAAATAAATAAATGTCATTAAAACGCGTAATCATAGAAAGATCTAAAGAAATTTATATGAATGTTATGGCACAAAGATAATAAATCAAATCAAACTCCGAAAGATCTTTAAAACTTTACCTGTTTAATGTACTAAGATTAAAAATCATTTTTCCAACTTTTATATTAGAACAGTCAAAAGGTTCTATAGCGGTACAGTCAAGGAGCTGTCCTACCGCTATAAACATGAGTATGCGAACTAGCCAAAAAACCGAAAATGTTCGCATTTCGACTAATTTAATGAGAAAAGGATTTGAAAGCAAGTTGAGAGAAATTACTAGCAAATATTGATATAGCAGTATTATAAAATTGTAACACGAATTTGTGGTACATGTATAAAGTTGGTACGTATGTTGTAGGATCATCCCACCATCAACTTAACTATGAAGCAGGCCAAATTTTCTTTTTTTGTAATTTTAAAATCATCGGCCTAAATTAGGTTAATGCAAGCCAACCAATTAATTACGTCATGGCACTTTTGGGGCCGCTCTGGATAATCCATCCGATTGGGTAACGATTTCGTCATATGGGCGAATTTTGCTTAGCACGTCGTGATACCTATAAATGCGTACGTACGTACGTACATAAAATTTGCGATAAAATATCATTTTAAAAAGAAACATGGATTTGTAAAATATAATATTCTATGTGTAGCTAAAGCTTCTGATTATCTAGTTAATGCTTTATAACAATAAAATTGCCTATCGCCATATATATATCGATATACTTTTACAACTTGAATTCGAAATCATTTTAAGGGTGGCTGTGGGTCAGACAATAAAAATAATAGGTCAAATTCCGCCGATGAAAGAAAGTAACATTAAATAAATATAAAGAATTTTTTTCTTATATACAAAAAATAAAAATAAATTTCGAAAAAATTAATGTTTTAATATTATAATACGTAAACTAGATCTTTTTGTGAATTGAAAGGCGATATAATGACAATATAAAGCAATGAGCATGAAATTTTTTGTGAATATAAAGACGATACAAGATTTTAGTGAACCTTGTTATTATAGTCGTAAAGTATAACAAGTAATAATAAGTTTGATAGATTTCCGCGATTGACGCAGAATATACTGTATGTATTTACCTGGAACTTTAATAGTTAATGTGAGCTTTTTGAGAGTTAATGTGATAAAGATCTACAAAATCGTTTAATTTAAGCTAAGAAATGCTTCAAATGTAAGGAGTTTGGCCCATCAAAGTTTTGTTAGTTAAAAGACGAAACATAAAAAGAAATCCAAAGTAAAGGTTTGGTAAGAGAAGGGTGAAGTGAACGTATAATGCTTTGTAACTGTTGTTATATGAATTATGTATCAAACCCTCTTAAAAGAGGAAACAAAATTATTAATAAAGAATTTCTAGAAGCAACTGACATAGATATTATGGAAACGGAAACAGAAAAAATAGATATATTTAATAATTTTGGACTTGTTGAAGCCATAAGATCTATGGCAAAAATTCTTCATAATAGAGAAGTTAAAGAAAAGCAAAAGCTCATTTATAATTTTGATGAATTACGAGAGTTATTTGAAAATCAAGATTCTAACTTGGGTTGTTTTTTTGAACAATTATATTTAGCAGCATGCTCATCGAATCATAGCAGTCAAACCATAAAGTGTATGAAAAAAATTATGGTTTTTATTTGTTATCTCCTTGCTTCATTAAATAACACACAAATTAATACTTTTAAGTCAGATCTTGCATTTTATTTAGATTTAGCAGGAACAAATAATAAAAATTTAAATACAATAGCAACTATTAGTATAGCTATAATGTCGAGAACAGTAAATAGAAAAAAAAAGAAGATATTGGAAACATATGAAGAATTTGTTAGATGATCTTATAGAGCATTTAAACGATGCTCTTATAGTTAATATTGATGATTACTATAATATCTATGTTCAACAACAACCCCGTACTATCACTATCTCTTTACCAACTCATATGGCAACAATCATGACGAATCCATGCTTAACATTAGCTATCAAGTACTTAATCCTAAAATCATAAATGAAGAATTAATCATAAGGAATATAGATAAGCATTTTATCGTAAATCTTGGTATTCCTTATTATAATTATATGAATAAATTAGAGAATATACTGATACTGAGTTATTAGAAAAACTTACTTTATATAGCTATGATGATAGATTAGCAGAAAAGAAAAACGAGCAACATATTAAAAATTGTATCCTTTTTGATTTTGTTAAATGCAATTTAAAGAGAATTAAAGGGTATTTAGATTTACTTCAAACCATATACAAGCAAGAGCCAATACCAGAATATTTATTCAAATTTGTAGTTCCCATCGTTGCAGACTGGCCTGGTCAATTCTATATTCGTAAAGCTATAGCGCAGAAAGTTCTTTTGAATAATCAAAATATTTCTGAATTTGTTACAGCATTTCTACCTATGATGGGTCCTCTTCATGTTTTATTGAATGCCCATGAACTTGTTTTTAAGAAAAACTCATGCTTGTTTAATGATATTTATAAAAGCATATTTGGAATTTGTAAGAATCTTGGTAAGAAACCACAGCTATAGAGAATTGATTTAATTCTCTATATAGTTCATTTGGCATGGTTTGAAATAGCTAATTTTATTTATTCAAAATTTGGTCATGCATGCAAAAATTTAGAATTTTTATATTTAACTAACCTTTTTAATAATTTAGTTCCTTTAGTTTTAGATATATATGTGATATATCATTGAGAAGGAAACTGGCTAGCCTATAAGAAGACTTGTTTGTATACATTGTTAGAGTGATCTTTTTTTACAGTTTGATAAAAAAAATTATAAGTATGTGCCTTTAATGTTCTTTTCAGTTATTTTTTATTGGATAGAAACTAATCATCTAATATTTAATTTTATTATTAACCATCTTGCTTCTTTAAGTGATTCTCCTATAGAAATATTTCATAGCATTATTAAGTGACATACTTTTAAATCTTCGACAGGTGAACAATTATGAATTGCTGTGCATATTACTTACTAACAAATGCCATGACAATGATTTTTAACAACAATTTGTGTGGTCTGAAAAGTATCCTTATTTACCAAAACAATTGCGCATACTTTCTCAAAAATGCACTATATATCTTTTAGAGCTTTTTACTAAAATATATTGTATATATGATATAAGCTCATTTATTGTTAGTTCTTCTAATAATATTAATATATATAAATTATTATCATTAGGTTATAAAATCACAGATCGAAATCTTTTAAGAGGCTTTGTAACATCAAAAAAACCTAGTATTTTTGTCTTATATAACTCAATTCATTGCAATACACCTTATGATTTATCTAACGATAGTGTTCTAGTATGCGAACACAGTTACTATCCCTTAAACTGTCAGGTTTAGCATTCAAATTTGGACGCTAAAATTAAAATCAATTATATCTGATCTAATTTTTTAAATATTAAAATATTTTAAAAAAAAT